TTCAATCCAGGGGGTATACGAGCACCAGCGCCCCAAAGGTTGTGCTAAATCTGGCTGCAAGTTGCTGAGTTTATTGATCCCGACGGGTAGTGCTGGCGAACCTTTTGGCATAGGTAAATCTTTCCTCGTGCCCCCGACTGGCGATTCATCCTTTACTCTGAGCACTCAACGCAGTAAAACGTAGTCTCCCACGGTGTCTTTGCCGGGCGAAGTAATGAACACACTTTGCATCCGTACTGACGTCTTTTGCTCGATTCTTTTCCGGTTTTTGCTCTTGTCGTGCGAAAAATATCCACTTGGCGAGGTGTGTGATGGGCCGGGAGTGTGTAGCGAGGGTGTGTCGACGGCACAACGCTTCTATCAACCAAAGCTTCGTCAGATAGGTCTCCTTCGAAGTCGGCAGCTCCCACGTTCAGCAATGCGACTTGCATAGATCTCATGAATTCTGCGTGCGTGGGTGGAGCACGACCTGGGTTCAATCTTGCTTTGACGCGGCGATGGATGATGTAGGCATTGACTAACGCCATGTCAATGAGTCCGAGAAAGATAGTATGATAGTACTTCTTCATTTTCATCGCTCCCTGTAGTGTACAGGATAACAATTGTCAATATGAAACCAAAGTAGTGTAGGATACAAATGGTAGTACCTGTATTGAATATCGCTGGAGCCACAACTGATCATGTATATCTGCGCCTCCCATGCCTTTTTGGTAGTCCTTGACGAGCTGGGGTGCTGGGACGTCAACAGTGTCAGCGCCTGCACGTCTTACCAAACTTACCACACCAGTACCGCAGCCCGTGGCAATGAAGTGAACGGGACGGTTGTCCATCCACGAAACGGCCACCATGCTTGGCTCTACCTTTGACTGTGCAATTCGATACAGCCCTCTCTTCATCTTCTTTGGCCTCTCGGCTTGCTTGTATGGAATCGTGCTGCAATATCCGCGCCGGTTCGTCTGAATGGTGCCCACGTGATAAAGACCCCGTTGTAGAAGAATCGAAGACAGCAGCACGCTCGAGTAGAACCGATCCGTAATGACGAGTCGTTTTTTCGGCAGTCCGTCGAGCACATCATCAAGGTTGCGAATTACCGCGTTTGGTCCCTGGTTCAGATCAGCACTATACCTCGTCAGCCGCCGTTGACAGATTTTAGCCCTGCACAGGATAACAATCACAACTTGTTAGACGCTAACCTGTAGAATATATAGATTCTCTTTGACATACCTGTAGCAGTAACCCGTTGCAGCGTCGCACGTCAAGTAGCACTTGGTACCCCATGGATGGGGCTTGGCACGAAGGTACTGCCGCATGGGGTTATACTTGCTCTTCATGGGTATCATACCGTCATCATATGCAATGCGCTGTCCAACACTCATGCCTAACTTGAACGTCTTATTGATTGTATCGGCAATGGGCTTGATCTTCCAAGTCTTGTATTGCTTTGCAGAGGCGTCGTTGTTGTTGCTAAAGTGCATGAACCGCACAATTTCTTCGAAGCGTTTTCTTGACATGAAACGCCCGAAGATGCCTTTTGGTACCGCGCCCTGTGCATCGACTGCCCAGTGTTTTGCTAGCTTCTCGCGATGCGGGCATAATGTTCTTGCACATAGTAGACCAATGAAATGCACCAGTTCATGCGGCTGGATAGGCTTGAATGCGTCTAGCTCCTTCTTCACTTGTTGCAGAGTCTTCATTTTGTAGTCGGGGCGTCTCTCCTTCATGCGGCGCTGGCGAGTCATGATCGATTCAATAGCTTGGGACCGGAACTGGCGCTGATAGCTATTGGACTCCTTTGCTATGGATATCCACATCTCCTTGGGGAGAAAGAGGAAGAAGAGTCCTTCCATATTACACCCGAGTGCTTGCGCGATCTCAGTTGGAGCTGCTGTGCAGTTGGTCAGACTTGCCGAAGGCAAATCGAGAGAGCTGCCTGCATTCAGCACACAGTTTTCAAAGTTAGCGGATCACACAAAGAGTTTGATGAATGCAAACCTGTACCGTACAGGATTATACTTACCTTCGGCTTCGAGGTATGTTGTCCAGCCCGTCTTCGCATGCTCGCTCAGGTCCTCCTTGCTGATTCTGTCAAAGGGCGTACCCACCGACAAATCCACCGCATCTTCTTCACCACTTGTTTCCTCGGGATCACTAGCATCACTTGCAGAACTCTCGCTGGCCGCCTCCGCGTCAGAATAGTCGCCATCCTCCAATACAAAGTCGTCTTCGTCTCCAGACTCCATTCTGTCGTCACCCGTCGATAAATCCACCAGATTTGTCGCTGCGGCTACATGAGTCGGTCTCGGTGGCGTCGATGACGTTGGTTCAATAGTTGGAGCGGTGGACTTCCTGGCTCGTTTTTTTGTAGGTGCTGGTGATTGCTTGGCCTGAGCCTTAGCCGGTGTCGTGGATGGGGTCGTGGCTGGTGACTTGGGCGGCGTCACTGATGGAGTTTTGGTTGGAGCCTTGGGCGGCGGCGTGGATGGGGTCTTGCCAGGTGACTTGGGCGGCGCCTGGCCTGAAACCGTCGTAGACGATTTGCACGACGTCTTAGCTGGGGCTTTGCGTGGAGGTTTGGCTAGTGCCTTCCCCGGAGACTTGGTCTGAGCCTCCGCTGGTTTGACCCGGGAGGTTGACTGAGCCTTGGTCGGAGGTTTCGTAGTTGATGCAGCAGGTTCCATGTTCAGCTGCTTCTCAACAGGCGCCGATGCAGATGCGGATCGCTTGGCAGGAGGAACCTCATCATACAAAACTTTTGAATATTAGCCACTAGATTGTAGGTCAGTACCATCCAATCGACATACCTTCCACGGGTAAATGCTTCCATACTTCATCTGGCCCATCGAAGTAGTCGACAAGATGCGTAGCGTTTGGTCTTCTTGACCAGCCTTCTGGCGTGAAGTATCGGATTTGGCTGGATAGCCCTTTAGGTCGCTCGAATTGCCATCCTAACCTTTTTAGCTGCGTCCAGAGCTTGCCCCAAGTTATTGGCCGGATGTGCTTCCGCTTTGGCATGAGGCCCAAATGGCGCGAAATTTGCCCGCCGCTAGCTCTCCCTAAATCTCGAAAAAGTCGTAGCCACGAATTATTGCCCCGAGGTTAGCAACGTGATTCTAAAACTTTATAATTTAGTGGACACTTGAAGTTTGTATGGAAACACTTACTTTTTGTAATGAGGAAAATGGCCTTTTTGTTATCCTGTAGAATACAGGATACGAAAATTTATATCCTGTAGAATACAGGCGGCGGGGCTAGAGGGGTTAATATCACTAATACTTTTAAAGCATGTAGCTACAAGAAATTGAAGAGTGTTCAAGAAGCCCAAGGGTACTATCTCAACGTTATCCTGTAGCGACGTGTCTGTCCGCATGCGGGAGAGAGAGCAAAATGGTAGAAAATAGAGGGAGGGGGGAGGTATTGGTAAAGCTGGCGCCGACAGCAGTATCTCCCTCGTAGTGAAGCAAAACATCGACTTCCTGCTGCTGATCCTCCCACATCGAGTCGAGGCAGCCAAAATACCCAGAATTTTTTCAAAATACAGTGGTACCCCGATGAAATGGGGCGGATTCGTGCAGATGAAAAATATGCCAAAAGCGCTGATTTTGAAACCCCCTAATGCAAACCAAAGTTCTGTAGATGTAGTGTTGGTTACAAAGCTGCTTGTAGACTGAAGCACAGCGATGAATACGACTTCCTTGTTACTCGAGAGCCTAGCACTCCTCAGTCTTCCTCAGCTTTCTTTGTGTGTGCTCTCCAGCACTATATGCAGACTGCAGTAGAGTATCGCTATGCTAAAATTCAGGCACCTCCGTGGACTCTTTTGCTGATCGCGTCCCATGTATTTGCATATCCAGAATGCTGCTCTTCAACATGTCGACGAGGTCAATGTTGCAGCAGTGTTCGCACAAACACTAACTTTATTGTTGAGATACCTGTTTGCTAACGTCGCGCACTTATCGCTATGCTCATCCAGTCAGAACTTGAAAGGGTTTTGTGAATGTAGCTAACATGTTTCTGGAGCTAGGGTGGTTCGTTATAAATCGCATGCTTACTCACAAAACCTCATACGGTTGATATGGGCTAAGTTGTTTTTTTTCTTCATGATTTCGCATGCTACGATTGCCTGCACAATTCCTACTTTTGACGGTCACAGTCGGTTGTCCCGACACATCGTGCTTAGTACTTCAAGTATGTACCAAGTAGTTGTAAAATTTGCTACTATAGTACTGACCATTGATTTGTTGCTGTAACCTGCACAAACACACGTGTAACATGGCTGCAATCATGCCACATAATTGTAACCAATCTTTGGCCACGCACGGCAGACGTTTCATACATACAGTACTTCGGTTATTGTCCTGAATATCTATCTTTGGAAGGGTGTGGGCTGCTCGCAATTCTGAATTAAGCAGATTACTGTACATACCATTCCACGCAGATTGAGTAAACAAAAACCACGTACATACTATAGTGTTTTGTACTTTATATTACTAATACAGTAGCTAACAGTTGTGTCTAGTGTACACGCATCTAGAATAAAAATACTGGTACAAAAAATTGAATAGCGCTGGCGCCAGTGTTAGCTCAGCTAAGTCTTAGCTGGCTTCAGCCATTTCCGGGTAAAGAGACGTACTGCTAAAAAAAAAGTTGTCGCCCCCCCCCTCCGAGGCCAATTGTTATGACTATTTTTTTACTCGTCTTTGGGGGAAAACAAATACTCATTTATTAGCACTTTGAGCCCCCCTGATGCTGCACTCTGAATCTGAAACCGTAAGTTGCCAGCACTAAACTAAATCATGTGTTGTGGACGCCGGCATGGACTTAAATCTTGGTATCCTCTCAAGGCGCATTCCCAGCTGACTCCGTTAAGCCACGTTTCTTTTACCGATTGTCTTTAAGTAGGCGGTGTACTGCTGCACTGCTGTGCTAATGAAACCATCGTCGAGCTCTGGGTAACCCTTCAGTAGTTTATCCAGATCTGTAGGACTCATTTTTTGTTGTTGTTAGCGAAGTTGAACACCGATTTCAGCTTTTCGTCCATGGGCTGAAAAAGAGTTTGACTTGAACATCTGGCTGACAAGGGCCTTTGCCTTTTGAGCACCTTCCCCAGCCCTCTCTTCGTTGTTTTCACCGACAGCTTTGTTCACTCTCAGGAATCGAGCATAGTCGATGGTGCTTTGGTCAGCACTGACGAGGTGCAAAACGCCCATCGACATTACACCAGTCAGTACAATGTCATTACCGGCAGATACGGTGACGATGTTGTGGCCAGCACAGAGGGTAGAAGCAGCAGCCGCTAGGATGTATTTGAGTCGCATGATTCGTGTCTGGGTGTTCTGGATATTTCTTGGTGCAAATGTTGCGTCCACAAGGTGAATTGAAAACTGAGGCGTATAGGTCCACGTAATGCAAACCACTGTACTGTACGCACTTTTGTTTACTCTACGTGATAGGAATGGTTTGTGCAGTAATCTGCCTAATCCTTAATTGTGATCGACCCAGTACCTCCCAGAGATAGATATTCATCGCAGACACTGAAGCACGAACGAAAATTCAGCGGTGCATGGCGGATTTGCGCGGGCTATGGCCTTCGGCATCCTTCAGTACCTGACTCAGGTAACCTGAGGTACTATTCGAGTTCCACTCACAAAAGTCTCGCTCACTTGGAGAGTTTTACCAATATAGGGGGAGTCGAACATTACGAAATGATCCAAAACAATAAGCAGAAACGTGTCCAATTTGTAAGCGGAAGAGTGCACAATTACTGAGCAGAAACAGTAAACGGGGAGTCGAACATTGAGGCTAAATTCCGCACTTAAGAAGAGACAAATTGCATTTTCTAAGTCGACTGCTATGGCGCCGCCACAGGCTACAGGGGCCCGTGCCCTGGTGCATTGTGGCCGTGCTATGGGTGCAGCCTTCTGTGCGGCATCTATCTCCAACATGTGTGCTGCACGACGCGCCTTGGGGCACCCGACTTCTGGCCGGAGACATGTGCAGAGCGACGCAGCCATGCACGCGCCTTCCTCCATTTCCTTGTCGTGGTCGGTGGGAGGGATAATTATTTAGGAAATCAAAAGGGCTAGCTCATTTTGAATGTAAGCCACCTCTTACTTTGAAACTTTGTCAAAAATGCGAGCGTAATCCGAAGGGAATTTTGAGAACGCGTCAATTTCACATTACACTACGTTTCGGCACCTTAGATCTGCGGCAGCACCTCAAAAGTTGGGGAACACAACACGTTACGGTAGCAACACAATTAAAAGTGGCGTATATGAAATCTGTGGCCGTTCTGTGGCTGTGCATCGAGTTGAAGGCAGAGGATAGGAAGAAGCCAATGAGATCGTGGCATGGGGAGTCGTCATGAGCGTGACACAGCGTGCGTAGGCAGAAAGTGTGTGGACCACTAGTCAATGGGGGCCTTCCAGAACCTGCATGGTAGCCGTCTGGCACTCGCCGAAATGCCAAATCGTATCCCGTGGCAAGAGAAGGCCTTCGCGGCCGAGGCGTCCGTCGCAGACGCGTTCCTGGAGGGGCTGAAGTCCTTCAATGTTGTTAAGAGTCACGTCATGGCGTGCACTGTGTGTTTGGGAGCGGAGCAGCACAAGATGCGCTATAGGCTGCTAGCGTGTAGCTCCTCATTATGCGGCGAGGGCCAGTCGTCGACCTGCAGCTGGCGAGGCAAGCTGCTGTCATGCGAGGCGACACAGCGCGTTTTTATCTACGACTATGGTGCGCACGCTACTGAGGTGCCTTCGCCAAAGAAGAAGAAGCTAATTACTGCACAGAAGACGTATTGCAGAGAGAAGGCCGATGATCACATCTGGCCGTTGCGGATCCGACACGGGTTGTCTCGCAAGTTCTCCACTCCGCTTGCGGACCTTCCAGCTTTGAGCGTCGTCCAGAACTTTGTAAACCACTACAGTCGCACCTATCTTGACAACCATGATCGAGTAGACGACCTGCGGAAATGAGTTCATGCGAGGAACTACAACGGAAGGGAAGCTAAGGACCAGACATTCACGTTTTGCTGGGAGGCCGATGCTCAGGGCCTACCTAAAGCTGGGGACGGCTCCGACGAACGACCGTTTATTGTGGGAATGTCGACGAAGGGTTTGATTATGCAGCTGTTGATGCCACCGGACGCCTTCATCTTGCACGTAGATGTCACGTACAAGATGAATCACCGTGGTTACCCGGTTATTGTCGTCGGTGTGTCTGATCGTGCACGAGTTTTTCATCTAGTGGCATTGTTTGTGGTTTCTCAAGAAACCCAGGAAGTATTCGAGGCTGTGCTACTATCACTGCAGCGCGTATTCTACTTTATTACGCACAAGAATCTGGTAGCTCAATACGCGATGGCAGACGCAGACCAAGCCCAGTATAACGCACTTAACTCGGTGTTTGGCCAGACGCAGGGATTTACATTCCTTATGTGTTTTTTTCATGTCGTCAAGAACATATACAAGGCGATTAAGAGCTTTCCCTCGGTTATATCGGCTGGGTTAATACGTGGGGTGTACGATTTACACTTCACGCGATCCGAGTTAGACTTTCAGCGCCTTCGGGAGCATCTTTTAGCGACGTGGTTGGGAAATCCTTACACTGTTAGATTCGCGCAGTACATGTGGCTGTACGGGCGGTTCTGGAGATGGAAACGCTTTTCACACTTCCAGGTTTTGTTGCTACAAATAATCCGGTGGAGACTTTTAACGCGCGGCTGAAACGGGACTACACGCTCCGACGCCGGCTCAAGATGGGTACGCTCCTGCGAGAGTTATCAGCTTGTTGCCACGATGTTTCGTCGAGTATGCGTCCCTTCAGCTTCGAATTCGCGGTGGCGTAATCCCTCACACGCAGAGTGTCCGAGACGATCAAAGAGTCCCTAATAGGTGTGTGGACCGGCGCAATTCCACCGCCTGCGTGTGCTGTACGCTCCAATACAGTTTACGTAGTATCTAACCTGGCTAAGAGAGTGACTGTTGCCCCACACAAGAGATCTGAAGCCGGTATTGCGGTGTCTGCGCAGATGGGCGCAAACTACGCTTGTATGGAGGTACAAGGGCAGCCGTGGGGTGCCCTTGCGAATACTGCTATGGGTTCGGGGTGTGCGCTCACGTTGTATACGCCCTTCGCATTACTGAAAGTGTGGATTCTCAGGGAAGGCAGGTGCTTGTCAATCGCACCAAGCGAAAACGACAAGAACCCCTCGCAGGAACAAACGGAGGTCGCCCACGTTCAGTCGGGTCAGCACTTACATATTAGTGTCCAGCAACTAGACATTGGTGTTTGAGCACCGGACAAATAGCTTTATACATTCTCACACGATACAAGATTATCGAGATAATATACTTGTTTTCTCAATATCCTCGGATAGATATCAATGTACATGCCCACTACATGCGTGTAAGCTGCTAGCGTAGCCTTAACTATCCATCGTTAGCGCACTGGAAGGGTGCTTAAGGAAATAACTGTTACGAGCATCTAGAACTTAAGTTTGGTACTATCCACAACAACCGAATGGTCAATCTCTTCATTGAAGTGTTTAGCTACATCCTACGTACGAGAGATTTGTGGACTACTCGGTTTGAACATGGTTTTCGTCCTTCCAGCACTTGTCACAAGCTCACTTGAACCAAGTCTTGTCACCATAGTGCACTGTAATCTGGGCTCTCGATTTTACACTGCGTATCATGCGTACTAATACCTTCACCGTACTGCGGTTCTGTAGTTCCACGAATGCAGCGTTTGGTTCACAGGCGTGGCTAATAAAACGCGTCATCGCACCAAACTTTAGTGCCTCCACGTAAACAAACCAGTTCTTCACGGACTTGGTGTTGTATAGCATTGTATACCCGCTGTTCTGCTTTACTGCTTGTATAGGCTATCCTTCTCGTAATTCATCCAGCTCAAGAAGGACACCAGCATATTCACCGACAATGTCACCGACTTCCAAGTCTGTAGTAGTCATAAGTCCAAGACCCACACGTCCAGTATCAAATAGTCGTAAAGTCTTTCGGTCCACCGGTGCGTTACTGCACACAGCGTTCAATCCGCAGCACTCAGGCGTGCAGTATACTGCCGAAGCAACGTTATCACACGTATCCAAGAAACAATCTCCAATACATCCGCACTTATCGAGCTCGCCAATGTCCTTGAATAGAACACCTTTAGGATTGAGGCAGGACACGATTTGCTTGCACTCCGCTGGCCACGGTAGCTCCTCCGCTTCGTGATCGGCGTCAACCACAGGCTCCACATACGCTGGGCGGTATTGGTGAAATCTATAAAGACGATCAAGTACACCGGGTAGCTCTAGAAGAGCTTGCACCTTGCGAGCTTTCAGGGACTTTACGTGGTACAGCTGGGTGCCGCTACGGGTGACGCCGCATCTTGCCTGATGATGACGTTTGCGTGACCTCGGCTGGCTCCAGGCATTAGCCCGTTTCTTGGCTTGGTGACGAATCTTTTCACGCATATAACGCGTCGGTATGGTCTTCAGGTACTCATTGACGTCCAGAATATCTTGATCAGTAGCGGTCTTAGCAGCAGCAGATGCAGTGAGTACATCAGTCGCGATGCAACCTCCTGCAGTCTCGTCGGTGGAACCCTCGGGTGTATGCGCTTGGTCAGACAACTCTGCACTTGTTGCACCACTTTCTGTAGCTCTAGTGGGCAAAGTAGATGTACGGGATAGCAAAAAAATTGGTTTCAGCTGGAATAATACCATTTTCTGCATTATCACGAGTTATGGGGCTCCCGATTGCGGTTTCCTCGCATGTGCGGCCTTCGTCGGTATCGCTGTCGCGTATACAGACACTCGGAGGTACTTGGTTCTGCGTACTAGATGCTCTGGACGTCGAAATATCTGACTCCACCGTTGCCTGGTCATCGTTACACTCATCAGCGTGGGTGTTCGCCAAACCCTCACTTTCTAAGCGAAGCTGGCGGCGCGTAGACTCAAATGCATCATTGACCGCATCTTGTAGTGTTGTCCGGAGCGTTCTGGACCGCGTGGGGGCGTCGAACGTCCCTGGTCGCAATGAGTAGGTCCTCAACGTGCGCCACAGCGCGTAGCTCGGCTTGTACTTGTTGCCGGCCCGGTCCGACACCAGCCTGCACCACATGCCCAGTGGGAACGGCTCTCCGGTGTCCACAGTGACTGGGTAGTTGGGGTCGTCCTCAGGGGCAGCACGAAGAACGATTGTAGTCCGGTGCCCGCGCGAATCGAACAGCACAAACGCACGCGAGAAATACTCGATTGTATCACCAGCGGACAGCGTCGCCGGGGGTAGCTGTGAGGCGCTAAGGCCTACCA